ACTGGTAATGTCTGACTGGGCCTCGTGCCACTTTATGTTCAACAAATTGGGCCCCAAGGTCAAAAAGGTTAAGAACCCCTGGTTTAGCCTTCACTTGACATAAGTTTGTGTGACCACACGCTAACTTCACAATTAAAATGTTACACGTAAATAAATAATAATAATAAAGAAAAATAATTTTGGTTTAGCTCCAGTATCAATACTCGTAGCTACATTTTATTTAACATTTTACCGTAGCATGAATTTCATCAACTATGTTGCTAAACTTACATTTTAAAACAAATTCCTCGGTTCGTGATGAATTTCCAAACTATGCCGACTTGGTTAAAAAAAAAAAAAAACTCCACCATCTTTGTTTCTCTGTTTAGTTTGCTGTCTGCACACTGAATCCTGGGATATCCTCAGCTGGGAAGGCCTTGGTTTTTCAGAGTTTTTCAGCTGCATTCCTCAGCCGCACAAGGAGGAGCCTTCAAATTGGGACCGCACTCGGCTGACACATGCACACTCATGAGGACGCAGCCCCTGAATTGAGACACAGCCTCTGTTCCATCTCAGATGTCTTTACAGCGTCTGCAGCATCATGGATGTATAAAATACCCAACTCTCATGAAGCTCTGCAGAGATTATAGAGGGTCACTTCATAATAGGTCAATTTTATTGGATTGGGCACTCGATCAAAATGGATGACCCCCAAATTCCAAGGGCTGTTTTTGAGATAACAAGGTGGACAACATAAGACATACAAAAAATGTGTTTAATTACCATCTCAAAAACTGTTGTTCCAACAGGAACTCAGTGTCACCTCTGTAATTCCTCTGAATTATGAAATAAAACCAAAACAAGTTTGCAGCTGATATTTATTATTGCTCCTGTTTCCAGGTTTAAAAAAAAATGAATTTTGCAAACGWCGGTAAAATTAGTTGTTTCTCTGTTTACTCGCAACATTTACAAGAACGCTTTCCTTCAAACTGATTTATGGTCAGTTTGTGTTCATGGAAGGCTTAAGAAGACTGATTTCCAGAAATGAAGTGTTGATGAGACTGTCGTTASTTTGTTTCGCACCGATCAGAAGGAGGTGAAGAAGGATGGAGTGATGAAAGACRCACGTGACCACAGACTTCTGTTTCACCGTGACCTTTAACCCCCGGGCTGCCTCAGAGTCTGTGGACCGGCAGCCTTTGTTACTCGCAATAAAGGTTTTCGCTCTCAGACGTTACAAATGTGAGTTCAGGACAGATTTATGCAAACATCAACATGTGGACATAAACAGACTTTTGCCTTCCAGTGTTTGGGAGTCTTAGAAGTAGCGGGGTCAGATCTGAGGGTCTGTGTGTGCGATTGTGTGTGTCTGTGTGCACGCTCAGGGATTAGTCCACAGACAGCCGGATCCTGAACCCGCTCAGGTCTCCCTCTGTGACCTGCTGACCTCCTGACTCTGGACTCTGATAAAACTGCAGCAGAAGAGCAAAGATTTAAGAGTTCAATGTTCAGAAGAAATACCTTCATTTCTGAACAATAAACAGTCAGACATTCTTTTTGTGTTTTGGGTAAAGAAAAGATCTGTTTCTGACTAAGTTTCTGTTTAAAATGGGGAATTTTAGGGWTTTTATTACAGAAAACAGAAGAATAAAGAAACAAAGGAAGTTTTGTTTTTTGAGTCCAGAGCCGGCTCTTGGCATAGGCGAACTTGGCGGTTGCCTAGAGCGCCATCTGCTGGAGGGGGCACCGAACTGCAGAAGAAAAAAAGTAATTATTTGTAATTCCTTGTTGTAACTCTGCTCAGCGCGCTTTTCAATTAGCATCGTCCTAAAAACTATAATGAAGTAAGACTTGAAAAAAATCTGTGAGATTGCCCTATACGTCCTTATACTTGAAAAATGATGTAAATTCCTTGTAACTTATGGACAATCCGTACAAGTTGACATGTATGTTGTTATTTATTTGCTTTCTGGGAAAGCAAATAAATCTAAGTTTACCATAGTACCTTTCACTGTCAAACTTGTTTTTAGGGGGTTTTAAATGGGGGGGGGGGGACATAGTTCGGGGTGGGGGGTTGCGCTTCAACTCGCCTAGGGCACCAAAATGGCTAGAGCCAGCACTGTTTGAGTCTGAAGCTGTCAGAGGGAAATGAGTTTAATCTTTCAGCTGATTTAAATATTTCATTTACTTCCATGAAACCTTTTAAAATCCAAGCAGAAAACAGATTTYAGAGTTTGTCTGGCAGCGGTGAAGCAGCCCTGCTCAATGTTGGCCGACAGTGTTTTCTGTCAGCTCAAAGATAAACTATCACACAGATCATAATAGCAGCCATTAGTGAGCCGCGATTAGAAAACRGTTTAAATTAGCAAACAAGTGAGCATGACACATCATCTTTTCTTTATCAGCACCACTCTGGTCTTCAAACTGACCGCCCCCCCCAACCTTTACACTATCTCATCTCTGCAGCCTGAAAACAACACAAGGAAAAAAGAAAGTATTTTGGATTTATTCTTTGCACGTTTGTTGTATTCTGTTGGTTTTTCAAAGTTGAAATGACTTTGGTTTGTGTTAAAATTGTCTTGCAAACAAATTCTGGACATTCAGGGTTGGATTGTTCCAGATTTGTGTGCAGTCATTATCTAAATCCTTACATGCTGTATTATGTGACTGGCACGTTGATTTATTTGCTGCGAGACAATCTCGTTAAAAAAAATTATTCTTTGTCATCAGCAACTCAGTCTGGATCTGGTGGTTCYACCGAGGGTCTCGGTTCCTCTCGCGTCTTATCTGAGTGGTATGTAATGCTAACAGTGATGCACTGCTGTCTCACACTTTCCCGGGGGGGTGGTGGGGGTGTGTGGGGGGGACTGTGTGTGTTTTTGATGATGATGAGAGTATTTGTTGGGATGAGAATGTTGTGTTGGTAAATCAGCTGTTTTTATTGTTAATGTCACGTTTGTGTGCACAGTCTACATCCGTGTGTGTGTGTGTGTGTGTGTGTGTGTGTGTGTGTGTCTGAACCTGTGACTGTGTGAGTGTGTGTTAAGTGAGATCAGCTGCATACTGGGATTACTGGGACGGTGTTGACAGAGCTTTGCTCTTTCCATATTTGTGCATGGTTAGTGTGTCAAGATGCAGCCAAGGAGCTGAGAGATAAGGAGAATGTCTGAACGATGTGTGTGTGTGTGTGTGTGTGTGTGTGTGTGTGTGTGTGTGTGTGTGTGT